GGGGGGGGAGGGTATTATTCTTTGAAAGAGTAGTGAAATAGTTTGAAACTTTTTATAATAATTATAATTTCATCAATCAAAATTAAGACTAATGTTTTCTTTAATTTAAGCTGCTGACCACCTGGCTGAGATTGGAAAGCAAATCGGCAGAGGAAGTGATTGGAATGATCTTGACTGCAAACGAAGAAAATGCTCTGCACTTGTGGAAAATTGTGTGGCTTCCTCTTTAAAAGAAGAGTTAAGCTTGAAACTTGCAACCACAAAATACTCTATTCTGTTGGATGAATCCACAGATGTAAACACCATGAACATTCTGACGGTCTCTGTGAGGTATGATCTAATTAATAAATGCACTTATGAATGAAATTATGATTAATTAATTAATGAACCAATAAACCTATGTTTAGTAGAGAAAAGTTGTAGGTTTAAACAAAATATGCGCATGCAATACTATACAATTCATATTTCATATGAATTGCATTTAGATACTATTGCACAGAAGAAGAACGCATAGTGGATGATTTTTTGGACAGCGTGCCTGTTGTCCACACTACTGGGGAAGATTTTTGGACTGCCCTAGAGAAGATTATTACTGTTGACTTTAAGATCAGTTTTAAAAATTGTATCGGAATCGGATCAGACGGAGCATCAAATATGGTCGGGTGCCATAACAGTCTATGGACAAGATTTAAAGTTGCTGCTCCGCAGGCTCTACAGCTTAAATGCATTAGTCATTCTTATGACTTGTGTGTTCGTAAAGCTATGGAACATCCTGGCTCAATGCCATCTTCACTCAGTAAATTGCTTCATGCCATTCCAAGGAATCAGTTTCATTTGCCATACAACTTTTGCCATAATTACACTTTCCATAATATGTGAACCATAATTAATTAATCTTGCCTTAATTGAACTTGCCATTTTTACAATTAATTATGATTGCAATATTTTTTAATTAAAATAATTTTTTTTTGAAACTGAAGCATTTCAAGGTGGTTTGGCTCCAGCTCAATCAGACAACATAATTTTGAAAAAATATCTTTCGTCATTAATCAAGACAACATCAATTCCCGGGAACCTTTCCAAAAGTTTGACGAGACACGCTGGTTGGCCCGAGCTAAGGTACAGGAATATATAATTTTAAAATCTTGGAAAAAATTAGGAACATTAGGAATTGAGTTTTTGCCACAAACTCTAATTTTTCAATCCACAATCTTGGCAAACTGAGTGTGCAAACCTTTGATATTTCTAACTTAGATTATTTGATTGAACAGAATTCAAGGTTTAAATATCTAAGGTCTACTACTTTTGGTTGCAAAGATATAGTGATTAGGAATCATAGTTTGTGGCAAAGACTCAATTCATTTGTTTATTTTCTGTAAATATTAAAACAAATCAAATATCTGGGTATTACTTAATGTTTTTAAAGAGGGGGAATGATTTTTAAATAAAATAGACATCCCTGCAAAGGTAGTAAATGGAATTCTAATTGCTTACTGGGAACTGGTAGCTTACTTCGAAGCTGTAGAAGAGGGAGAAGCAAACACAGTTACCAAGTATGATGCAAACGAGATCCTGAGTCTTCTAAAGGTAAAATAAAATAATAAATTTTTTGACTGAATTTGCAATATTTTAAATGAAATATTTCGTAAATTTGAAAAAATAAAGAAATTTAAAAAAGTTTTTTTATTTTCTTTAGGACAAGAGACACTTCTTATTCCTCACTTTCCTTGCTCCTGTTGTTGCAGAATTTGAGAAGATTAATGCTTACTTCCAGGTTATTATTATTATAATTATTATTAAGATATATATGTATNGTCGATTATGGAGTTAAATTCACAAGAGAGTGTGCAAAGTATTATGATGAATTGAATAATTCAACCTTGCCTGGAGTTGACAGGTATAGATTTGAATAAAAAAGAATTTACTTTTGATAAAATATCTTCTTGGCTGAGTATTCTTAATTTCTATACTTTTCAGCTCTGAAAATGCTAGAGAACAGGTTTCACAGGTGAAGAGAATATGCTTCACGTTCCTTGAGGTCGCACTTCAAGAACTCGACAAGAGAATTCCATCTAACTGGAAAACCTTTACTAGAATGAACTCCCTCACCCCGGAGAAGGTGTTATCCTCCGACCGGTGCCCATTCTCCTCCCTCCCCTTCTTGGAGTTCTGTGAGGAGAAACTTGAAGATATTGAGTCACAATACAGGCGTGTAAACCAAGTGGACTGGTTATCCTATGAACCATTTAATGGAAAGATCCCTGATCCTGTTGGTTTCTATGGAATTGTTAGAAACTACTGTGTATCTGGAGAGTATGTCTTTCGAGAATTGGCTGATTTTGTTCTCAGTGTATATTCTTTACCACTTTCAAATGCTTTTACTGAACGCATGTTCTCTATGATCTCATTTGTCAAGAACAAATGGCATAATCGGCTTTCCAATGCAACTGTAAACTCAATCATTAGATTGAAATGTCATCTTTACAGCCGAAATGTCTGTTGCTCCACTTTTAAGATAACTCCTAAGATGATTGAGCGTCACAACCAATATATGTATTCCTTTAGGAGCTGTCCCAATGATCTTGAAACAGACAACAAGGATGATGCCGATGAAGATTTAGATCATCTTTTAGATGATATCAATTTATCCTTGAAATGATCTACCATTTTTTGTTTCAGACTTTGACGTTTGCACAAAATGGAGCCAGAACTGCAGTTGAAGAGTTTGAAAACAGTATAATAAGGCATAATAAGACTATAAGTGACCTTGCCATAAGTAACATAGAAACGTTAAACAGTGACATAGAACCATTAAACAGTGACATAGACACGTTAAACAGTGACATAGAAACATTATTTTTAAAATTCGGTGTTGGTGATGGACCAAACCTCTATAGAGTAAGAAAAGTAGATGTTAGTTCCACATTATTTCAAATATATTTCGGTCTGGGTTGACTCTCGTCAGTTCTTGAGATTGTTTCTGTCACAAAGATTAAAAACAAGAGTTATCAAGATAAGATATATGTATTGCCAACAATACATATAAGGAACTCTACAAAGGAATTTACACTCTTGATTGAAGTAAACTGCTTTTTAAAAATATTTTTCAAACCATTTATATTTTCTTATAAACTTTTATAACAAAAAAACAGGAAAACTATTTAAATATTCACTTATACTCAAATATACTTAAAATAACAATTATTCAAAAATCCTTTGAACTTATTTACATTCTTTCATTCATGTATCCATCCATCCTTTCATTCATCCTTCCTTTCATCCTTCCTTCCTTTCATCCTTCCTTTCATTCATCCTTCTTTCTATCTCTCCTTTCATTCATATCGCAAACTCCAATTTTCTAACCCCTATATCATTGAAACCTGATTGTTAAAACCTTTCATATTATAAACTTTGATTAATTGATCTAGCTAATAAATATATTATATCTATCTATCTATTTATCTATCTGTCTTTCTATCTATCTAACCATATATCTGTCTATAAGTCTACTAGTCTATTTATCTATCTGTCTTTCTATCTATCTAACTATATATCTGTTTATCTGTTTATCTAGCTATAAGTCTACTAGTCTATCTATCAATATGTCTATATATATATCTATATGTCTATCTACATGTCTATATATCTATCTATCTGTTTATCTATTGGTCTATATATCCATCTAGCTCTGAAAAATGATATATTAATAAAATAATTATTTTAGTGGAATAATGTTGTGCGAGTCTATGGTTGCAGATTACTGGTCCACTTCTAAAGCCTTCCTAAAAGAACTCACATACCACTGTCTGTTTGACTGTCCAAGAACAGATGAAGAGTATAATAACCTAATATGGTTGGCCGGGCTTATCTCAATTCATGACTTCTGTCTGGATCGTAATGGATTTACCAGTCTGAACATTCTTCCAACATTTTTGAAACAACTTTCTTTGGCTGTAAAGATCCAACGGTAACAATCTTTATTATTCATTTATTTGTTTATTGATGCATAGACATTGTTAAATATTCTAAGCTTAAAACTGTTTATGCATTCATTGATTTTGTTTGTTTAAGGGAGGATAGATGTATATCTATGAAAAGAGATCAAATGAAATACATGTCTGACAAAGTGGAGGAGTTGGTTAACTATATCAAAAAAACTGGAGAATATGCAATTGTAACCAAGAACCCAAAAGTAACTGTTGAAAATGTTAAAAGAAACATCCTCAATCAAAGTACAAAAGAAGACATTGCAGCAATGGTTAATGCATATTGGACATCTGATTTCAAGAAACTGTTGAAGAATAATAAACTTTGGGGCACGTGTCTCTTCTGTCAAAAAGGTTTTAATCGAGCCCATGTTGCACAAAAACACATATTACAAGTGGAGTGTCCTATATTAAGAAATCAACTGGAGAAGCATCCAGAACAAGAAGAAGACCAGGAAGCAGCAAATAAAGAAGAAGTTAATGATGGAGAGAACCAGGTGGAAATTGCTGAAGAAGAAGAAGAAACAAGACGAGAACCTGAGAAACATTTCTCAGAGGAAATTGGTGAAGAAAAAGAAGCTCAAATCCCGGATTGGCCCCGAGAGGAGGAAGTGGAAATGACAAGGTTCAACTTTAGAAGAAGGGAAAGTACTATTTATGATTGTGTACCTAGTGATAGTGAAGAAGACCTTTCTTCAGGAGAGGATTCAGACATATTTGATCCAAAAGGAGAAGAAGAAACTGACTTTGAGGATACAATTCTAACCAACAAAGACTTAAATACACCTCAGAAGCGGAGAAATGATAGCTCTGATGATGAAATGATTCCTGGGTCACCAATTTACCTAAGCCCACATGTGGCAGGATCAAGATCATCCACGTATTTTGAACCTTCTCTGAAGAAGCTGAAGGAGCTAGATCCCCTTCAGAATGCTTCAGCAGTGTCAAATTCACTGCACTTAAAGCCCCAAGAGCAGATTGATACAGAAGAACCAGCCAAAAAGAAAATACAAAATACAAAGACTGCAACAGTCTCCAATTCTTTGCAACAATTAGCACAGGAGGAGCTGGTATCAAACCAGAATGTCTCCGAAACATCAGATAAGGATAATCCAGACCATTTTTCACAGCCAACAGACCTGGAGAAGCTGTCGTCAAGTCGGATTGTACAAGAGAAGGAAGACCAGTATTTACAGCCACTAGAGATTGTACAAGATACATCAGAAAAAGAGAAGGAAAAGGCAAGTTATAATATTTTTTACAGTGAAGTAAGAATGTGGCAGACCTTTGATATTTCAAGTTTTTATCATAATATTTCAAGTTCTCTGCTTAAAACAGGACAAGGTTGATGCTTCATATATGTTGAATTTACTTTTACTTAATGGGAAGAGGTGCGTGATATGTAAACCAAATGTTAAAATTAAATACTTAAATCATTTATTCTTTGCAGTTTTTTTCTGTACTTGGACTACGAAAGCTATCAGCCCCCGCCAGAGTTTACCCATGTTTGGTAAGTGTTTTACCGAATTAATTTCATTAATTAACTATTAATTAATCTTTATAATGGTTACAGATTCCTGAGAAGCAAAAATTCTTTAAGAATGTGAATCCAACAAATGTAATCTTTCCTTGAATCTTTTGAAGAACTCTTGGTAAACATTGGCGTCTGCGTACGCGGTTGTACAAGAAATTAAAGTATACAAACAGAGTTAACTTGTCTTTACTGTTTTCATTAAATAAACTCTAGCAGACATAATAATACTATGACTTTTGAAATCAGGTACTACAATGCTAATTTATAGCAAAAATGATATCGAATTTGTCGCTGAATTCCCATGTTTATTGGGACACCCTGTACTTAATAAGTTGATATTCCACCTGTTTAATTTTAAACATTGTATTTTTGTTTTTTTTTCTATTGTTTAAATCCCAGGTTCAGGGCCATATTAAAGCATGTTTTAGTATTTTTTCTGATTTTTAGCGTCTTTCATCTTGTAAATTTAATTCTTAGAAGACGATATTTAAACATGAAAGACGACCTTTGTTAAAATGTTGAAAAATAACGTTTTGGGGAAGACGACCTTGTCTTTTCTCTTACTGTTAGAAAGCTGAAAAAGAACTAAACTTTTATTACAGTTGGACCAATAAAACTAAGAACAAGGAAGACGACATTATGCTAAAAATAATTATTTTAGATATTCCAATGAATATGAAGCATAACAATTATACACTATACAGACCCATTTCATTTAATATCGTCAAATAAACATACGATTTCTTTAATGTCGTCTTCATATTCCTTAATTGGGTCCACTACAGGGAGTAAGGAATAGAAGGGAGATATAACTGACGCGGTTCGCCCTACCATATGATTATACATGCTTTGCAGACGGTACTACATTTGAATATGAAATATTTGTCTGATGTACATTTACTGCGTATACAAAAACCTATTCTGAATATTTCATATACAAATGGAGTACCCGTCAGCAAAGCATGTATAATCATATGGTAGGGCGAACCGCGTCAGTTATATCTCCCTTCTATTCCTTACTCCCTGGTCCACTATGCATTATGTTCAATTAAACGTCTTAAATTAAATATAAAAGGTTTGCACTGTAAATTTAAAGATTTGAAAATTAACGTTTAAAGCAAATTCCTTTCTCAAAACTGTAAGAAAAACACTGAAAATACTCAGTTAACCAAGAACTTTGGGGACTTCGAACGAATTTCTAAAATGTCGTTTCCTGCAGCATATTTCATGGCTATTTCTTTATTTTTATAGTTGGTGGAAGGATGAACAAAATCAGATTAGAAATAAACGATGGAGACCACTTTTTTTCAGTAAATATATTTCGAGATTTCTATGATGTTATTTTTTAAATAATTGAGATTTGGTGTAATACAAGGTTACCCACAAAGGATGAGACCTCAGAGACGACTACACGAAATTGAACCAAATTGGCTGAATTTTTTTCAGTGAACAGTGAACAGTGTCGACATATGCTCAAAAATTGAAATTTTATTTAAGATATACAGTTTGTGCGGCAAAAAATATGTAAAACTATTCTTAAATTTAAATTTAAAGATTGCTTAAGAGAAAAATTTGATCGTATTTTCCGAATTTGGAATTGTAAAAGATGTATGTACAGCTATGATGCGGATTTTAAGTAAACATATCACAATTATATATTTGATGCTTTTGAATCCAATAGTTTGTATCCAATAAATGTCAAAATGTCAAAACGGCTGAAACAATTGGGCCCAAATTGTTTTTAAAGGGAGTGACCGGCTATGTAAGGTAGTTGAACTGAGTATGCAGTGTTGTGGAAAACTTCTTTCGGATTCATTTGAGACATACTACACTTTTTAAAGATCTGTAAATCCGAGTTTGAGCGCAAATTCAACGTTCAAAACTCCTACTTTGGGGCTGGATACGTTTTCAGAATTAGTTTTTTTTTAATTATGAAATTTTAAGCAAAAAACGATGAGAATTTTGCCAATTACTTCTAAAAACCAACGCTAAAAGCAAGTGCTCTGTAGTGCTAAAATATCAGCAGCAGTAGTACATTTGAATTTTCGAGCCGGGTCAACTTTTCCGGTCCCAGTGTGTACTGTATCGCCCGGACAGTGGGTAAATGAAGCAGACACTCAATATGACTAGCCGGTGCAACAAGGTTGATGCGGTCAGACTTTATGTTGAATTTACTTTTACTAAAGGGTCAGAGGTGCGTGATGTACATGTAAAAGGCAACAGAAAAGCAATTTTGAGTCAGAGCGGAAAAATCTAAGCCAAAGGCGCTGCGACACTTCAAAGTCGATCTTATCTTAAAAATTTATGAGACTATATAAGCAGGCTGATTCACTGCCATCACGTTAAACTAAATTAAATTCCAAGTAAGATTGAAATCTTATATATTTTCAATCATAACTCCTTGTATTGAAGCGTTATTGGAAGAACAAAAATGCTTTTATAATGAATCTTTTTTCTCATACTCAATTAAGTGCATAAAATTAAAACTAGAACTACGAGGTCACGTGATTTCCGTCTATATCACGTGACAATGATACTGCACTGTCATTGGCTGAAGTTTTGGTGACGTAATACGGACTATACGTACTATATGTAATTATATTGTCAATTATATCAATTATAAATGCAAAATAATAAATAAAAAATTATAACATGAGCAAACCTGAGATTCTCAGGCTCCTGTGGGATATCGTCGTTTTCAGATTGGTTCCGTATTTGGTTGAATATGATCTGTTTAAACCTACTAATTTTTTATAAAATTGCACATATATGAATTTTCGTATAAATTTGACACAGTTTTATATCAATTTCTCGAGACAGGAACATCAGATAGCTGTCTTATATGTATTGTTCAACGCCTGAGATTCTCAGGTTTCATTCTATACCCCCTTTCATTTTTCCTTTACAGTCCCTTTAATATACCCCCTTTCATTTTTCTTTTACAGTCCCTGTAATGAAGTGCATAAAATTAAAACTAGAGAAGCTACAAGGTCACAAGGTCGTACTATTAAATTTGACCATTATTCCTTCTATTTATTTCACAGTGGCGAAACCTTCGTCTCGGTTAAAATGACAAAGAACTCAGTGTTTTCCATTTAAAAATTGGACAAATTTTAATGAAAGAGAAGAGACAAAGAATCAAATTAACAGAGTTCAACGTTTTATTAAGATGCATACGCATGCACAGAAAAAATGTAAAGCGTACTTATGTGAATCGGACATATGCAACTTTTTTATTGAGGGTCACTTAAAATTGCGTTGACAGTCCCTTTAAATTGTAAAAAGTTTTAAAATTACGTTGACAGTCCCTTTAAATTGTAAAAAGTTTTAAAATTACGTTGACAGTCCCTTTAAATTGTAAAAAGTTTTATAATCTGTTTGTATTTCAATAAATATAAAATTCATTTAAAACTTCCAACGCAAAGTACATATTTATTCAAATTTAACAGTAATGGTGGTTCGATAAAACCCCATTTAAAGTTTTAAACAATATATATACAAAAGGATAAGACTTTGCAGACGACTGTACGAAATTTATTTCGTTTTTTTTCTATCCTATCTGTGCTGAATAATAATACTAGATAAAAAAAATCAGCTATTCCTGAAGTTTTCCATATTAAAGTTACCCCACTCGATTTATAATTTTAAACCATGCTGAGATTAAGAACTTTTCCGTAATTTTACCAAATGTTCCAAACAAAATTTGAGGCGAATCAGTCCTGGGGTTCAAGAGTTCATCCAAACAAACAAACAGAGATTTTTTAGATGTTTAGAAATAGGGAGTGCCAATAAACATCTGAATTAAAGGGATTGTAAGAGTAATTACAAGAGACCCTCCAGTTGAAGATGAAAATGCTCGATTCACATTCTATTCAGTTTATGTTTCCAGTTTATATATAATCATTTTATTACTAGTATTTATTATCCATACATAAAATCTATTCCGAAATTTTGAAAATTTGGAGACTAATCATAAAAAATATTATGATAATCTATAAATAATGACGTTTTTCTTATTTGTGCAATGCATTTTAGATGTAACTTCAAAGATCAAACTATCAACATAGCATTTTTCATTTTTGTGTTATGTTTATATTGAAATTTTAACCAGTTCTTCTTAATAAGATCTGGATTATAAATCCGAATCAATCTNCGTTCTTATCCACAAGTCTAGGACATGAAGTCACAGAGCAAAAAACTTTGAAGTCGAAACTCAGTTTCGGGGAGAGGAAAAATGCACATTTTAAAATGCATTAAAAAATTTGCAGATATATGATATATACCCGGCCCGATTCAGAAGTTAATACCTCAAAACAACACTTTCGGTTTTAAACCACAGTTTTGATTAAATATCCTCTGAAAAGTTTCCTCTGAGTTCCCTGTATATATCTATAGTACAGTTTGGCAGGGGCAGTGTCTCATCTCAATATGAAAAGATAAAATCATCATTACACTCTTTCAATCCTCTAGTTCTCTAGTTTTGTAGCATTCTCTAGTTCTCTAGTTTTCTAGTTCTCTAGTCCCTAGTTTTGTAGCATTCTTTAGTTCTCTCGTCCTCCCCCCCCCCTCACATCACAACCTTCGAAACATTTGATTTCCCGGATTCTTGGTAAAGGGTTAACGGTTGGTCCTTCAGTCTTTGCTGACTACTGAACTACAGGTTTTCAGAAATATATTCTTCTTCACAACCCAGGAACCAGAGTTAAAGGGTTTGTAAGTGTAATTTCAAGTGACCCTCCATACAAAGATAGAAATGTCCGATTTACAACGGTACCCTTAGAAAGCTTGGTTTGGGCAAGATGGTCAAGATATATGTTTTTAATTTTTTTAAACTGTTCATTTTAATTTTCGATTTCTCTGCAAAAGTGACTGAATTGTGTTTTTCAACATTAACTATTTATGGCTTATAAAAAGCAATGGAATATTAAATTATCAGAACACTTTTAGCGTTTGGAAAACGACAATATCTTCCACATTATTGATCAGAAAAAAGTATG